ACAATTATTTTGTAAGCTTTTATTATGTAAGAAAAAAATATACTGAGCAGTTCCAATCCTTTAATTAAATAATTTGTGCTTGGTGACTAAATTAGGGAGCTGTAGTTTAGATTTTACTATATTACTAGTGTCTGTGGAGATCTAAATTTGTTGTTTGTCTTCTAATGAAGAATAATGTTTTGCAAGATCTTGTTGATTAGTTAGTGTGTAAGTGAAAGTCTATTTTTTTTATTCTGTTGTTAAACTTAAATCTTCATATTTTTATGATATATGTATTTTTTTCAGCATAAACTACTTATATTAGGTGCTGAATGTAATTTTAAAATGTTGGGATATCCTAAGAATTTATCAAAAATAATCTTCGTTAAACATTTTTAGCTGTAAATTAATTTTTCTATTCTCAAAGATTTGATGAAAATGATAAGATAGAGTTGATGTCAAAAACATAAAATGAAAAGAAAAGAAATTCTTGCAATGAAAAACTAATATTTTGTATTAATGTTCCATTTCTGTGATGCAGTGTTGTGCTTGCTGCATGCCTTATGTCGTGCTATTAATAGAATACATTGCAATTTCTTCATATACTTAGAATGTTGTTTAATTCTTTTTAGGAAAACAGTAAGGAGATATCCAGCACGCAAGATCCATATCCTATACCAAAAGAAATATGGTTTCTTGTAGACCACTTGTATCGCCATGGTCTTAAACAGCCTCATTTGTTTGAGCAACCAGGACTCCACTCTGAACTGCTGCAGATTCGTAATTGGTTAGATCAAGGTTCTCCAGATCCCTTGCGTATCCTTTTGTGAATTAATTTTTCAGCATTATGAAAAATTTTCTTTCACAAATTAAATGTTTTTTGATATTTTCAAAACTTGACCACAAATAATGTTGTGATATTGGAACTTACAAGGAAACCATAGTCGTCATCCAGTGAAAAGGAGAATTTGACCCCCTGTTTCATGAGGTGTATGGTTGATCCTGCTAATAAGAGGTTCTATTTATCTGATGTTTATTAATCTGATTAATTTAATGTATCTGATAAATAACCAAGGATTATTAATAAATACATTTTAAAAAAGTTTTAGACATCACAAAGCTCGTTTGGTTATGTCATTGATTGATTGCAAACCGTATAACGTCTGATCAAATACTCAAAGTGATAATTTGATTTTATTTTATTTTTTCTCTGAGCTTTAAGCACAGTGACCTGCTGCAGCTCTTATTGCTGATGCCATCTTTTGCATTCTACCATCATCATTCTTTGTATAATAATTATTATTTTGATATTCGTCAATATTCTTGACTGTGAACCTGAAGATTAGCTCATACCCCACGTTTATGTGATTTAAAAACAAACAAACTGACAAGCAAGCAAGGAAAAACGTGTTTGGTGTCTGGGGTCAAAAAATATATATTTTCTTTAAAATCTCAACGTTTATGTTTTCCAAAATTAAATTATTTTCTCTATACTTCATGTATACTCCATATATTTTCTGTTTAAACTATAAGATTTAGAAAGTAAACAAAAACCTAACTCCATAACTTCTCTTGTAGAACCCAAAGTGTTTTTGTGCCGTCTTTAACGAATTAAAATTAACAATATCTCACCACTCACCAGAAATCATATATCTACCAGAATCCCACAACTGACCCTGGCAAGGGTGGCTCAGGGCATCAGTTGATGTCCTCGCAGTGCCTCTGACCGGGAGGTCCTGGGGTTCGAGTCCTGCCAGTGACAGAATTTTCAACTTTAGCTTTGTCGCTAGATCGAGCTCAGATGCTATCTGGAGGAGAATTCTAGCAGCCGTCTGCTCTGATTGATTGTTTTTCATGGTTTCTTCAATTAATACCAGGCAAATGCCAGGGCAGTTCTCTAGCAAATCGGGCCACAGATTGCGCCAGAATCACCGTCCAGTTGGGGAAGATCACTGCCATGCGATAAAAACGCTCTCGCTCTCCATCTCACGCTGCCCGCTACTGCTGTCCTCCTTGGCCAGTCACATGGCAACGCCTAGCAACAACGAAACCCAGGTGGATTGGGAATGAGAGAGCTGACCAAGTAGCAGAATTGGCCACCAAATGGTCAAACATGGTTATCTCTGTATTATTCTAATATAAGACACTCAACTCTAAATTACTTCAAACTTCGCACTTGCCAAGATTAAAGGAACTATGAAGACGTATATTTCTGCAAGCTGGAACAAGAAATGTGAAGAAATAATAATCCACTGAATCAGATACTATTATTTTTTAAATGGATACCATCTTCACTGTGGCCCTATCTGTGTCTAGTGTAAAATGAGTTAATCTAAGAGAGTCTTAATATCACTACCCTGCTGCCTCTGTGAAAGAGGTGCTATAAAAATTCACACTTCAGTCTCTTCCCCCTTCTAGCACCTCATTAGAGGACAGATGTAATTTAAGGTAAAATTGTTTTCTAGACCTAGCCAAATCTTGGTCAGTTGTTTTCAAGGCCTAGCCAGGTCTTGGTTAATTGTGTTCATCTAGCTTGACATTTGTTGTCTTGCTATCGTAAATATTTTATTCCATTTTTGAATGATTTTGACCAACCACTTTTACATTGTCCTACATAAGATTTTAAAGCAATTTAACATGGATGCAAATAACATTTACATTCAAGAACCATCTGAAAAATAGGTTACAATGTTTTGTGGACTGAAATAATAAATGGAACTCCAATGAATTCAATTGTTCCTTAATTTGTGCAACGCTGGTTGCGTTCATTCTGTTGCGGAGCTCTGCTGCTGTTATTGGAATCAACTGCTGAACCTATAGTGCCCTACAATTTACTAATATCTGTCTTAATGCTTCCAGTAACTACATTCAGTGTAAACAGGTTTGTAATTCCTTTTTATGTTGCACCTTCTGAATGATTTGTATGAATTTGATTGCTAGTAGACATGTTCCATGAGAAAATCTGAAAAGGAAAAAATTTGGTTTTGCTTAAGGAATGTAAAATTATCTGTTATCTCTTTAATCCCAGAGTTTGTAATGCTTAGACTTCTTTCCACTACTGCCTGCTTCTGATTATAACCAGCTGACATTGAGTTAAACTCCGTGGGCATAATTGAAATTGTGTTGAACGACTGAGCTAGTCCAATCGAAGCCGACGAGAAATCTGTTTATGTGGCATGAATTACACTTATTTTTCCATTACATTAAAAAAATGCCTATTTGAAAATGTATATAGTTTTAAATATTTGATAAATTTGTGTTGATTTTAAACCAAAAAATTGAAGGGTGTGAAGTTGAAAAATTATTTTAACCCTAGAGTGGGTGCACCTATTTAATTACCAGGTGCGTGTTGGATTTTGTTCACCAACCCATTATTTTGAATTTTTGGTTCATAAACCAAACAATTAAGGTTAAGTAAGTTTCAGTTGATTGTGAAATAACTTGAATTGTTAAATCTAATAAAAGTAAATTATTTTAAATAATTTGCAAAATACATTACAGTACGTAATAAATAATTGAGTGCAAAAAAATATGAAGTGAGGGTTCACATGAAATGATCCTAAGAAATAACTAACAATTTTCTTCTTCTAAAATACATTTTAATACTATACACATTGTTGAAAGTGTAAATGTTGTTTACATACAAAGTGAGGACATACTACTTCATTGCTGCCCCTTAATTTTCCACATGTTAACAAGATATGCAATGTATTCGTGGATAATTTTCTCCTCAATTTCCTATCTAACCTAAAACTGAAAATGTAAAACAACACACATGAGGACCAAAGTAGTTCCACCTAAAGATTTTTCTTGTATGTCCAGGCATGTGGTGAATTTTGTTCACACAATGCAGTTGTTTAAAAAATGAAGATAAAAACTGAACTCTTGAATCATCAAATATTGTCAATAGGGCCTGGATGATTATGACCTAAAAATATGAAAATATGACCATAAATAAGACTAAAATTTTTGGTTTCGTTTTCGAAATCTTTAAAATATTGCTGCTGTTTAAATAAGCATTATATTGAAAATATACTTTTAAAATCTAGCATATTCACAATTCACCCCTTCGCTTTTGATGCCCCTTGAAGACGACTCAACCTGCTAAAGTTTTTGTAGAAGCGATTAATCATGGCACAGAACTGGTAAAACTAAACTAACTCTTCCTTCATATCTCATGCTTTCTATGCTTTCTTTTTTTCCTTCTATAGAGGTAAGAAAATAGATCTCAAAAATCTCTTAGAGATGTCTGCAAGTAATAATGAGAAATTGGAATTAAAAAAATTGAAATGACAAAATATGAAAATTCAGGAAGAAACATGACCAAAATATGAAATACTAGTGGAACTAGTGGAACACAACATATGTTATGCTCTCACCATTCCTCTCTGTCTTTCGCCTTCTAGTGCTCTTTCTCTCTCCGTCCCTCTTTTGTCTAACTCTCTCTTCCCCTTTCTTCACCCTTCTCTTTCTCTTTTTGTCTCTCTCTTAACAAAACAAAATCCTTCTGAATGAAAAAACACATAGATTTGGCATCTTTCATGGAGGCACACGTGGGGGTGGGGGTGCGTGCGTGTGCCTGTGTGTTGTGTGTGTGTCATGGTCTAGGTCAAATGCTGGTGGCAATGTGTGTGTTGAATACTTGCACATCTAGTTGTTAAATTATTTTCTTACTGTATGTGCATATTTTGTTTTTTATGGACATGTTAGTTTGTGAATTTATAAACAGTAAAACTGCCAAAACCTGAAAATTGTATTACAGATTATTATGCAGCTACCTGAACACCGCAAAAATGTTTTTTTATACCTTTGTGCATTTTTACAAGAAGTTCTAAGCCACACAAATGAGAATGGACTTGATGCCAAAACAGTGGGTGAGTAAATAATATACTCTATAAAATAATGTTACTTGTGTGATTTTATAGTTTTCATTTTAGAAATATGTTATTTAACCATTGTGTTTGGATCTTTGTGAAGCTGTATGAATTTTTTAATGGAGTGTATTAAAAATAATTTTTTAGCTACATTATTTGGAACTATATTTCTTCGTGATCCTCCTCGGAGCAGAGGGGATCTTACCTCCCGTGTGCGGACCAATCAACAGGCTTTGGATAGGAAGAAGGCCAACTTCGTATATCATTTCCTTGTCAATGACCAAAGTGATTTCATTTTAGGTCGTTGAAGTTCTAGTTAAATTTAGTTTATAAACTGCAATGCTGAGAAGTTATGTAAGTGTATGTATGAATGTATGGGTGGGGTGTAAATGTTTGTATGTTAAACAAGTGTTTGTGCTAATGAATGAAAGGAAAGGGGTATATGTTTAAAGGTAAATTAAGTTACCATTTCATCTTATCATCCTCATTACTTGTAATTAACACCATGTAGATCGTATCATTATTTATTTTTTTTGTTTTGTTTATTCACTGTACATACAAACATCAGGTGTACTCTTTTGAGCACTTGGAGATAATACACTCTTATTGGTGTATTTTAACTTGTGTATTATGCTAACTTGTCATTATGTAATTTTTATGACCAACATTTGGTATCTAATGTTCAGATCGCTTTTTCTATGTCTGTGAAATTGAGTTGACCAAAACTTGCTTTTTGTGATATTCTGGTGGCTTATTGCAGGATCTGAATGCCAATGAAACGATGCACTTGAGGCCTATTGTTGAGAAGTAGATTCATAAGTTTATATTGTTGTACCATTCCTTGATATAATGTGTTTTGATTATTGCATTTTACATGAAGGGGTAAATTGGAATGAATGGGTATAGAATCTTTATTTATTTTCAATACCTCAATTTTAAAAGTTCTTCCCATTTTTCCATTTTGCCCATATATTTGACTTGTCCCTCACTCAAGCATTTTACAGAATATTTTTTGTATATCACTTGAGAACTTGCTATATATAATTATGTATTTGTAATATAATCACTTCTAAAAATTTTGTTTGGAAATAAAACCTATTCTGGTAAAATATTTCAAACAATAAATTGTCTTCAAATAATAGAAATTTATTTGTATTAATAGGTGCTGACAGCCTTACATTATATTTACACTGTAAAATATATAATCATTTTGTTAACTTTGTATGATTTTATGATATATGTTTCTCTTTGATATGACATGCTGCAGAAATTAAATTTTGTTTGGATTAGGCCACTTCATTATGTAAAAGCAATTGCAAAGGCCTAGTATGTAATGTCAGTCAGTGAAAACTGTATGTGTAGAAAGTAGATATTGAAACCTGTGTTCTAATGTACCTGCCATCTATTGTTTTCTTTTTTTATTTGTGATGTTTGAGGAAACAAAACATGATTCTGTTAAACTATAATTACTGTTCTTTTTTCAGTGTATCTTATCTTTAAAATTGCTATGAAAAGACAAAATAAAATATCTTTATTATTAAGAAAACTTGGTTGAATTCAGAGACAGTGCAGTTATACTTGGGGCAATAAATTTAGGCAGCTCATGGATCTTTTTTTGAGATCTTTTCACTACTCACTTAGGCATTGCCTGCTCTCATCCTTTTCTACTAATAACATGTTTTTAGAAGTCTCTGATCTTTCGCTTTGGTATTTTGGGAGGGAAATTTGCTATTGTTGCTACAGAGTAAATACTGTAAAGTGAGGCAACACCAATCATTTTTTAGCGTTTTTTTTTTTTAAATAACTTTTCATAGTGTTATAGTTTTCTACACATGAAATTTAATTTATAATGGCAAATCCTTCATCTTACTAATCTTGTTATAAAATTTGTTTTTAAGTAATGAGACATAAAATAAAAAAATATTTCACAGTCGGTGTTTCCTCTCTGTGGGATAACAACGATCTGGAGTTTAATTTTTTTAACTCATTTTTTGTTTTTCCTTTTATTTTTAAAATCTACTTCAATTAGAGCAATTTGTACTAACATAAAATACTTAAGAAAATAAGAATTAAAATATGAAATTAAATACAGCAAAATAGTAATAAAGTGAACAGAGAAATAACAATTTACTGTCTTAGCAAAATGTGAGAAACCTTCATAATCAAATGAACTCACAAACACAGAAGAATCATATTGTATGCTGATTCAAAATGGAAAGGATTAATCCAAATCTAAATTAATGTCGGTAAAACATTATAATTTTGATTTGGAACTGATCATAAATATATTCTTGAATTAAATATCAGAAAATACCATTTCCCACAATTCCTGGTGATGAAATTGGTTTGATCTCCTCTTGATCACTTTTGGATATATGTCACTAATGTGTGGATACACAAAGTATACTGATCCATTATCTGAGACTTTTTTTCTGAGAAAGGTGAACTTCATGTTTAGAGGGAATAATTGCATTTTCTATTAGCCTGTTGAAATTTCTTACTTTCTTTTATCTTCATAGAAAGTTTGTTATTATAAAATCACCCCTTGCTGACTTTCAATGACTTTTTCTTTCATGTTTTGCATATATATTTTCTGGCTTTCTTTCTCTCAATATTAAAAGGTGGTTCACCACTTCATTCACATTAATATGATGAATTTGTACTAGCGTTTGGTTTAGATTCACGTCAATACCTCTCACCGCAATTTTTTTCACCAGGAAGACTAAGGCACTTTTGTATTGCAGCTTGCCCTCTGCAGCTTGGTGCATCCACGATTACTTCTTTTGGATGTTGCGCAAAAGCTCCACACCACGATTGTTCAGTATTACTGGAGCAACAGCATTTTCCATGAAAATAAGGTTCTAGTTGCATCTTCCAAATTACCCATCATTTTCTTATACACTCATACCATGATCACTGTTACAATGCAAAGTGACATATATTATTTTTTTTGTTAATAAACAATAAAAAGTAGTTAGGAATATTTTATTGAAAATGTGTATAAAAAAACACCACAATTAGAATAAGATTGCTACATACCTTCTGTTCTTAACGAGGGACGCTCTGGAATGAAGTTTTCGGGCATTGTGTTCCAACATCAAATTCTTCTTGCTAAGTTATCTGATCTTACCCTGAATGATGTGATAAAAATATTGTTGCGCGGAAGTGATTGTCACAAAGTTCATTTACTTTCAACATAACATATTTGCCATTCATTTCCATATACTGAATCACAAATACAAATTTATACTTGACAAGATATGTGAATGTTCGATATTACCACACAAGATTGGTGTTACCCCATTTTATGGTTCTGTAGTAGGAGGAAGGGACCCACGTAAATAAATTGTCTTTACAAAACATATTAGTTTTGATGAAACCATGAGTCGTTAGGGTGAATAATTTGGTGCAAAATATACATGCTGAGGTATTGTGGAGATTTAGTTAAATTATTTGAGTTGACAACACAATTTAATATAGCTTATATTGAATTATATTTTTTCTAAGTGTTTCTAGATAGATGATGCATATTTTTACATTACTTACTGTATTTCTTAATGACATAAAAAAAGGTTAACAACTTTTATTATTATTTTTATTACAATTTCTTTGCATTGTGGGCTGCTCTTACAAATTTTTACAATGATCTATGCTATTTGATTTTATTTATTTTCAATGTTTATTGTAGAAAATGTCATTGTAGTCTTTTCAGTTTCAATGAATCCTTCATTTTCAAAGAGTACATTTCAGTACTTGAATGAAGTTTTGCATCAGTATTGAGAACTTCATGCGTAGATATAAAAAAGATTTCCTTCACCTAAGTCCGCTACAACAGGTGTCAATTGAGCCACAGGGGAATGAGCCTTGTCATTAATAAAGGCATTATAATTATTATTATTATTATTATTATTATTATTATTATTATTATTATTAAAGTTAACTCTGAACAGTGTGAAAACTAATTTATAAAATGTAATTGATTTATTGCTTCAAATGAGTCTGAGTACAATTCACATCATCTGTAACCGAAAAAAAGCAAAGTACCTTAATTACACAAATATTAGAAGATGTTTTTTACTAAATATCTCATTTGGAAAATATGGGGTGGCCTTACATTCGCAGATTAAGCATAGACGATTAGGGCTTATGATTTTCCCAGAGTACATAGAGAGCTTTTCCGTGTCAGGAAGCTCGAAAATGTTGACGTAACAATAAGCTGCAAGGACTATAAATATCGTGCGTATGTACAATACGTAGATTAATATATTCGCGGTCGAAGTGTTGGCATCCATTGCGACTTTGCCGGGTAATTCGAGCAGATATTTGTGTGTGGGCTGGTAAAGAGAGAATCTTAAACGAATGGCATCAAGTGAAACGTAACATGAAAATGAATGACGATTTTGTTGCGAGATGCGGGTTCGACGCCCGGCGAGTGCGGGTCTGCGTTTTGCAACAGATAGAAATGAAGAAAGAAAGAAAAAAACAACAGTTGTACGCATTCTACATTCACCACAGAAAATGATTTTTTCTTAGCAAAAACTTCTCTAACTTGGAAACTTGCCGCTGTCTCCAACTTTACTCGCGATATGAAGGGACTGAGATGTAGGCCTAGATGTGGGTAGAGTTCGCAATCAACTCGATCACACGAACAGTAAACGTTACTAATTTCAAGTATATTTTGTTAAAGAATGTGAAAGAAACAGGCCATCAACAAATGCGAAACAAGTAAAAAAATCCGGCGACACAGAAGCGAATGTTCATAAGTGGCGTCAGATGGAATACAGAACAATGCAAACTTTCAGAGGATCCTAAAATGTAGAAAAATGTCGCAGCGTGGAAGGAGGACCAAAATGAAAGAAACACTGATACATGTGAAGATGATGAGGATAGTGACAAAAACCATTATTATAATGATTGTAAGGAACAAGAAAATAATAGTTCAGCCAATGAGTTTTAACATTTTCAACGAAGCAATTTTCTAGCCGATAAAATTTTGCAATTTTACTTTGACTTAATAGTAAGAATTAGTTAAATTGTTTTTAAATTTTCAGAAAGCCTTTTCAAAATTAGGGGGTCGTCTCATATTCAGAGTGGACGTATATTTGGGTAAATTGGTATAAGGCTGTTGTTAAAAAAGTGCTCATTTCTTGTATCTAATCTTTCCGGGTCATCAGGTAAGTTTTTACTGTGTTTATGTGTTCAGATCTGCATACAGTAACGTTAGACTTTATTTCACTCTCTAATTATATATATGTATTATATAGTATTCGTATATCTAATATGGGAACACACAATATGCACAGCAGTGGCGTGCATTCAACCCCAGCACTGCTAGGGTAAGCAAAAAAGAGAATCTGATGAATTTTGAGAATTAAAATTATTGTATGAATCGTATGTCACATGATACAAATTATATCACAAACTGTACTCTCCACTGAGATCTGTGCGGCCGCCTATTGCTTCTGCCATCTTCGCTGGGCCTGGGTGCTGCGCGCGCAACTGCTTCACTGGATCAGAGGCAGGCGGCGATCAGGGGGAAGCCGCAGCTGATATGCACTGAACGCTAGCTAGCTGGGCATGGTTGACGTTTCTCCCCCTCCCACTGCTTCAAGGCCAGACTTCGTCTCGCCCCCTCGTCCTGTCTGCGAACGTGATTACTCATAAGTAGGGCTGTGCATATGCAATAAAAACAGCTAAATATATGCATATGTATGTAAACATATTTGGTAATATATGCAATTAAAAAAGGAAAATATGCGAAATAATGTAATGTAATGCGTAAGTGTAAATCTACACTAAAAGTGGAGTGTGGAAAATAAGTTAACAGCAAATCATATAAATTGTTACAAGCGACAAACATTAAGTCAAGTGCTTACGTTTGAAGGACACTAATTTCTTAGGAAAATAATGGGAGATGCAATTAATGTACATTTCACAAAATAAAACAAAATATATAGGTATTGTAACATAAATGTGACTTCTCATTTTACGACAAATTGGCGGGTATGACTCTTTTAACTGAACTCCACGTTTGCGCCGTGTGTGGGCAAGTATATGCGCTCGGCGGATGTTCATTTCATTTCGACTTATACGCCGATGACAGGTCTTGGCGTGCTTCTCGAGTGACTTCGTGCGAGTCAGGCGTGCGGCAACGCTGATCAGTGTAATAAATTCAACGTAAATAACGTATGGCAACGAAAATATATCCCCAGCAGCCCATTGTTCCAGAGCAGGTCACATGGTGACCACAGCAAATGGCGAGAGAACTGTCAGAGCTAACGTCCACACGCTAATGCATTTGTAACTTTTGGGCTTATTTTCGTGGATAATGGGTGAATATGCAACAAAAAATGTAATTATAGTGATATATGCGAAATAAAAATTGGTTAAATTGATTCTAAATGCCTCAAAACGTATACAATTTGTTGCAACGGGATGTTTCATTTAACAGAAAATAATATGCAAATGCGTATAAATCACAGCTCTACTCATAAGCCAGTGCTACCACAATGTAAAATTATTTTAAATGGAAGTTTTGTTAGTATAAATTACCTTACCGCCTATCGAGAAGGTTATAACTTATAAAATGATTATGGGGGAACATATTTCTCTCAATGTAATGAGTAAACCAGAACGTTCAGTAGGTATTTTATAATTTTTTCGGAGAAAGGAAGTTCTGACATATGTGATCAGGTCCCTAGAATCCTCGGATTTGTGAATACGAGAGCAACGTATTCTTCGTAGAGAATCAATGTGCATATCACGGCAGTGCGTTGTGCAGTGGTGATCCACTGTGTTTACGACATGATGCCGTGTTTACTCTTTATTTCGTGAGGATTTGTAGTAACTTTAGTAAAAAAACTTAGTAGTAAAAATGCTTTGTCTAACGAGTATCAGGAATAATTCTGTGTTGAATGTCTTCCAGTGAGGGTATAACATGATATTTTGAGACCATGAGACCATTGTCAACGAGATTGTTCCTCGAAAAGGTTCAGGCAATTGAAGACGATAGGCCAGCACCAGCATTGTCACAATTGCAGAAGATTTAAAAAAAAAAAGATGGGGGGGAGGGAGGAAATTGGTTGGTCACTTGCAGCTTGGAGATAAGTAATCACCGCACGCCCCTGATGCACAGATATTTAAGTGCATCCTCCTGAAAACCAAATTGGGAATAACTTAATGAGAAACACAATTTTAAAAATGTAAATAAAATTTGCAATTCTTAAACGGCTTCCAGTTCTTTTCAATTAAAGAAAATCTTAATAAAATTTCTTCTTTCTAGTAGTTTTGAATTAAACTGCAACTTTCAATTTTCTGTATCTAACAATTATTAAAAATTTTAAAATAATATAAAAGTTAACCTTAGTTAGTGCAATGTTTGTTGTCTTTTTCTAGACTAATTTTCTGAAACATTAGTAATTAAATCATTTTAATTCATTTAAGGGGTGAAGTATGACATTCAGTTATTTTTCGTAAGTAAAAACAAGTAGTGCTGCAGCGCTTGTTAGTTCACTATTCTCTTGAATGTGGTCTAGCTTTTCGCTTTTGGTATCGGTCTTCCCAGCTGCTCGCTATAAACGTCTTAAAGACTTACCAGGATCTTTCGTCTTACCTACCTTTTGTAACATTAGGACATTTACGAGTATAGTCTCTGAGGACATTTATAGTGAAAAGCATCTCCGTGGATCATACAGACCTTTCTCGGCCCTGTACCTTTCATAATTTTCTATAGTACCCTAGCTACATTACGGTGTTTGTACCATTGTTATGGGTGGATCTCAATTAAAACAGCTTCATGAAGTTGCTCAACAGCTGAAGCAATTATGACGGTTTAGCATAGGCGTGTGCAGTCTAAATCAACGGAAGAGGAAACTACATTTTGGGGGTAATATCCAGTAAATAAATAAAATAATTTACAAGGTGAATGAAATTATAACTCATGATTCAATTTATAAATCATTTTCATTTTACAATCAATAAATGTCAATGTCATATAACAATTTCCAAAATTGTCAGGTCAATCTGGGATTGGCAGTGTATGTATTTGGCATTTGGAGTCGGATTAATTCGCCTTTTGCCAGCTAGCAGTGTTTCCCAGCACAGTCCCTGTTTTACTTTCTCGCCTACTACTTGCGCAATATAGGGAAACCATTGTAATGCTGCGAGAAAAACGTATTTTCGGGCCCAGATAACGAAAAAGCGAGTAAATCTTTCCTGTATGCAGTAAATCACTTCCTCTAACACAGAATCCACGTTTGGCAGGTCATTAATACCGAAAAATCTATTGACGGCAAAATGACTGTCGGTCCATTTCTCTATGAATAAAGCAAGTGACTAAACCGGAAACAGGATTTTTACCAAAATTGATGTTACCCAATTGATCTCACTGATGTCGCGGCCCTTTGAATTTGAAAAGAATATATGTGGGGGAAGGGGGGAATATTTTCAAAAGTTTTCTCAAAACTGGCTCCAAATTTGTTTCTCTGATAGAGGAAAGAATTATTTTCGTAACCCTCCTTACATTTTGGAAAATTGAAAAAGTTTAAAAATTTTTCGACATCTTCCTACAACTACAATAAAATATACTTTTTTCTTAAATAAATCTGTTCATCAAAAACATCTTTAAGAAATTACATACTCAATTTTTCGGAAATATGAATAGTTTTTGCGTTATGCTACGTGAACCATGGGCAAATTTTTAAGTCTTAAACAACAGTTTTCTCAAAAACTGCTCTCAATTTTTCCTCGTATGTAGCAAAGAGCAGTAAAGATAGCTGTGCGTATCACATTTTAGGCAATCTCTCCTCGAAAATAGAAAGAAAAAAAAATCAAAAAAAATAATCGAAATTGTAAATGCGAGTTTCCCGCGCTTCTATTGATG